ACTGCGCTGCAATGGAGAAATGGGCAAGGGAGTGGCTGGCGCGAGAGAAGAAGGCCACTTTCCCTCTTTCTTCTCCCTGCTCCTCCTCCTTCTCTCATGCCGACCACTCCGTAGCCCATTTTTCCATTGCAGTGCAGCACCAAGGATCCACTTTGATAGTGTTGCAGCAGATCTTGTTTCCAAATCAGGACACAAGACCACGAAGGGTAGGAGAATACAGGTTTATTTGTGCAAAAGGTTCAGAGCATTAGCATGGCAAATTCTGAACCCCCGGCTCTTCCTGAGGTGTCACTTTTATACAGCTCACAGCCTCAGCCTAGCCCAGGACGGTTCTCTTATCAAGCTATACCATAACATATGTACTACAGAAAGGAGAAGTAAGTCTAATTAGTCCTTTTGCACAATTCAGCATATACGTACTTATCTTACACCATCTCTTATTCTCCATACCCACCCTTGTTTACAGGAACATGTCTAGTTCTTTGGTTTAGTAATTTCGTGGTTTACACAATATTGTATTAATCAACTTCCATAATATTTGCGATATAAGCTAAGAAACTTCTGCTAATTATAAGAATACTTTTCTGGTAATTTTCCATTCTGCTTCAATAGCAGGGGGGGGGGGTGTAATTTAACAACCAGTTTGCCCAGGGTCAGGTTGCCTCATCCCACATGTGCGGTGGAGCTGGAGGATGGGGATGGACCACGCCTCCCACGACAGCAAACCTGACCTTGGGAGAACTGGTTGAATCCTACCACTGAGATTATCCAAAAAGGGCACCACCACCCGGGGGTGGGATTCAAATTTTTTAACAACTGGTTGTGTGGGTGTGGCTTAGGTGATGGGTGTGGTTTGGTAGTCATGTGACTAGGTGGACATGGCTTGGTCATATTATTGGCTGGGTGTGGCCAACTCAATATCACTCACATCGAGGCACGCATCTCCTCGCCTAGCCTCTCATGACTGTGGGGATGCTGCAACAGTCGTAAGTGTGAAAAATGGTCATAAGTCACTTTTTTCAGTGCCATTGTAACTTTAAATGGTCACTCCATACAAGCAAAGTACCAGCAAAAGAGGGGGGGGGAAATCTCCAGAGAAGTTCCAGAGACAGGAAGTCTAGTCCTGCCAAGAATTTAATAAGGGTTAATGCAGAGGCAGTTTCTATAAGCAACACCAGAATGTTTCCTTCCTGCCTTCCTTACAGGATTAGGCCAGTAATTTCTTCTAACAACCGGTTCTCCAAACTGCTTAGAATGTTAACAACCAGTTCTAGCAAATAGGTGCGAACTGGTAGAATCCCACCCCTGGCACCATCCAGAGCCTTATGGTTTGAGTTGGGCAGTCTTACAAAACTAATAAGCAGACAAATTTATGACAACAGTACCTGAATTACTTCATGCCAATAAAAATAAGCTGTATCTTTTTTTTCTGGTTAGTGTAGCTGCTTCTTAAATTACTTATAGCTGCTTCTGCAGCATATGCAAAGTGCCTGTGCAAGCATGCACATGCAAATATAGTCACTCAGGAGCATGGCTGGCTGGGTAATTCTAGGAGTTGAAGTCCACAATTCTTAAAGTCGCCAAGATTGAACACACTTGCTTTATATATTCAGAAGTACTTCACCCTAAACCTACAGGCAGTAGAAAATGCTAATAAGCTGTGTAAATTCTCCCTGCATTCTTTACAGGGTTTGTGTATTTCTATAATACATATTGTACATTGTGTAGATGCAATGCTAAAACGGGATTATTTCAGGGTAAATCCAATTAGGAGATTACTTCCAAAACTGATAAGGTTTATTGAGCTATTAATTCAACCCATTTTACTTGGTTATATTTCAGACCAGTTAATTTTTAACACAATCAATTAAACTAAAAAAAATAGCACACTGCTGTTTTTAGTATATATAAATGAGGCTATCACTTAAAGAAATCATATGGGCTTTAATCTAATCACTTGAGTCAATCTAAATGTATCTGCATGGGATTTACACAAAGACATAAAGGAAACACTTGGTTTTATTTTTAAGTGATGCTATTGCGTTTAGAGAAAATGTTTTAGAAGAAATATGAGTGTCACTTTACAAAATAGGCTCAATAACTTTTCTTTTACACTTTGCACAGAACCAATGCATGTCTTTTTATGGTGGGCTTGTTTTAAGCAAAACGTTAGTTGATCTATCCTATTTTATTTTGGTAAGAGGGATTTTAACATCAGAATTTACAGGTGGGTCTCGACTTACAACTCTACATGTAGTGAACTGTTCAAAGTTACAGTGGTGTGGAAAAAAGTGACTTATGACCGTTTTTCACACTTACGACCCTTGCAGTATCCCCATGGTTATATGATCAAAATTCAGATGCTTGGCAATTGACTCATATTTATGACGGTTGCAGTGTTCTGGGGGTCATGGGATCACCTTTTGTGACCTTCTGATGAGCAAAGTCAATGTGGAAGCCAGATTCACTTAACAGTTGATAACTTAACAACTGCAGTGATTCACTTAACAACTGTGGCAAGAAAGGTTGTAAAATGGGGCAAAACTCACTTAGCAACTGTCTCGCTTAGCAACATAAAGTCTGGGGTTAATTGTGGTCATACATTGAGAACTACCTGTGCTATTTCATGAAAATGCTGAGAATTATATGTAAAATTATAAAATTACCACTGCCATTTCTAAAAAAGGAGCAATGAGACCTCTTTATAGAATAACATGCAAGCATCGCCCTGATGCTTCTTCATGAATGCAAATGAACTATATATATATATATATATATATATATATATATATATATATATATATATATCGCCACAGCCAGGATATTATTGGACATCAGCAGTGAACACATTGGATTTACCTCTCTTCCAAGGCAATGAGAAGCTTCTTCATTACTCACATACTCAGGTTGCCACTGGAAATGATCTTCCTTTATCTTCACTTCCTGGTTTATCAATATGGCATATGTCATCCTCCTCCATGCCAACCTGCCTAGTCATTCTCTTGCTCCTGATGAACTATTCAGCAATGCCTTGTTTTTCCCTGGAGTTATTATATGCCTAGTGGTAGGACTTATCTTCTCATCCTTTTTTCATCCAGACTACACTCTGCCAAGCAAGTGTGCAAACCCTTTGATATCATACTAATACATTTCACCGTAGCAACTAACATCTATGTCACTTTTATTTCATAAAGTCTCCTTCAAGTCTAACTCAACTCAGGGTGACTTCATGGACAATCCATGTAGCTTTCCTGGCCATGGTGGAGAAGTCATTTCCACTGATCATGTGCAAAATGCTTTTCAATTTCCAGTTTCACCTATAATCCTAGTATTTCCAGGTGGTCTCCAAATCAAGTACTAATCAAAGGCAATCCTGCTAAATGTTCAAGATCAGTCATATGGTTGATGCTGTCATCTAGCTGGCTTCATGGCATAGATGTATATTATATTTTTAAAAGATTTTTTTAAAATCCCACTTTTATTATTTTTATAAAGAAGTCAAAGGCAACGAAAATGACTAATGGGCCTTATTCCTTCTATTTCCCCTACAACTGCCTTGTAGGGTGATTTTCTGTTCCTATCAGCAATAGTCAGCTTTCTTCAACAAGTTCACTATCTTCAATGGGAATTATGAGAGTTGTAGTCCAACACATCTGACAAATACATACATAAACAGAAATTTTTACTAAACCTTAGAGCTAAGACCCAGAAGGTTGGAGGGAACAAGGTCAAATTTCACTTGAAGTCCACATCCCAAAGAATCCCAAAGTTTGGTGTAGTGGTGAAGGAGCTGGCCTAGAAACCAGAAGATTGTGAGTTCTAGACCTGCCTTACCCATGAAGGCAAATTAGGTGACTTCAGGTTAATCACTCTCTTTTAGCCCAATCACAGGGTTGTTCTTGTGAGGAAAACAGAAGGAGAAAGGAGCATTATTTATAAAATAATAAAGGCAGGATTTAAAAACATCCATTAAATAAATAAATATTCAGGGGAAAAAACAGCCATTTCAGTCACTACTGATGTTTTCTGTTGGCATTTCTGTTAAAATTGTGCACATATATTTGCTAGATCCATTGTGTTATATTTATTCCCATACGAATACATACTAGAATTCACCTTTAGGTTTCTGCTATTTGTAAAATATAATATATGGACACAAATAAATATGAAGAATTCACCATGTGATTAATTTACCATAAATACCTATCAGTAATCTGCATTATGAGATTATACATCTTTGCTTGTATCTTTTCAACAATATGCAAAACAAATACAGATTGATCAATAACGTGCACAGATTACATACATATTAGTGTGTTTTTTTAGAGGCAAACCTTGATTGACCTAGATCAGATATATACAGAAATGGAAGTCTATGGTGGATCCCACTGACAGGTAAATTATAAAAGGGTGAAAACAAATGTAATGAAGAATTGTTGGGTTTTTTTTTAATGTAAATATGTTCATGTTTGTTTTTATATGTTTTTTCTTAATATGAACCAAGCTATTCAGTGCAATATACATGTTTACCCTCAAATATCAAAAAATATGCGTTTACCCGCAAATATAAAAAAAACACCCAAAAAGTCGAGTCTACACATAGTTAAGCCGTGCATGTATTGCCATATTTTGATCAGCAATACATTTAAAATATCAAATCCCCAATAACTTTTAAGCATCTTTGTTGACAGTGCTGGTCCTTGTATCTTGCATGAATCACTGCCATTTCAGTCTTAGCATACATTTACAGGTCCAGATTCAGAACTACATTCGGCCTACAATATGCTTCTTCTTAGACAAAATAGTTCAGAACGTGACACACAGCAAGGAGATCTGAAGGATATGTTCCTTCCCTTTCTTTTTTTAAGCACAGGTGACATGTACCAGGAATCAAGACAGAAAACAAAAAGAAAGAAAGAAAGAAAGAAAGAAAGATGGTACCATTATTGAGATGGGGAAAATGAAGGATGAGATCAGCCAGGTTTTCCAAGCCAACTCACCTCTCTCAGCTGCTCCAGCTCCTGTTTGAGGACATCATATTCCGTTTCCAGCTCATCGTACTGCTGTTTAAGGGTCAGCTTCTCTTCCAAGACCACCAGCCCGTATTCAGCCGCCTGGATCTTTTCATGGGTAGTCTCTGTCAGCTCTTTGGTCAGCCGCTCAATCTCCGATTTATAGTGATCCAGGGTCTCCAAGATCTTTTCTGCAGCCATAGCTTGGGAGGGTAGTGGTGGCAGCAGAGGGGGAGGAGCAGGAGGAGGTGTGGGGGGGGGGAGGAAAAGGAGAAAGAGATAGAGAATGAGAGGAAGAAAGAAGGATGGAGACCGATGGGAAGAAGTGGGAGGGAGGGATAAAGGCAGCCACACGATGGAGGGATGGAGAGCAGTTCGCCCTGGGATGTTGTTGGGAAGCGGCCAGCTCCGTCAGCTTAAGGCCAAGGGAGAGGATGGGGTGCAAGATGAAGAAGTAGATGTAAGGGGAAGGAGTCCAAGGCCCCCCAAGGCTGCTGCACCATTTGTCCTTCGGCCGCTCCACATAGGGACAGCATAATTGCGCTGTGGAAGGAGGAAAGGGAGAAATCGGGAGGGCGCCTGCTTCCTTGCCCTCCCCACCCCTCCACCCCCGCGCTCAGTTTTTGCTTATTCAGAGGCACCGGTCCGCCATGTCTCCAGGGCAGCTTTCACCGCAGTCTCTCTCAATTGTCCACCTGCTCTCGCTCTCTCCCTCCCCTTCTCTCTCCCGGCTGCTGCTGCTGCTGCTCCCGCCGCCGCCGCCGCCGCCGCCGCTGCAGCGCCAAAAGGGCGGGGGAGATGCTGGAAATGCAAGTCAATCAATAAAGCAGCAGCCCTGGCTATATACGGTGCGGCTTCAGCCTCTTGGTCCCCACGAAATCGAGTGGGGAAGGGAAGGGGAGGGAAGGGAAGGGAAGGGAAGGAAAGGAACGGAAAGGGAAAGGGAAGGGAAAGGAGAGAAAAAGGAAAGGAAAAGGGAAAGGAAAGAGGAAGGAAGGAAGGAGAAGGAGGGAGGAAGGGAAGGAAGGGAAGAAAAAGGAAGGAAGGAAGGAAGGAAGAGGGGGGAAAATAGCCTATTCCCAAAAAGAGCTGCGCAGGCAGGGAAGCGACCATCCAAGAACGCCTCCGGTTGCCTCTCCCGACCTCTTCCTCCCTCTTCTAAGAACGGCTGGGTGAAAGGACAGCGGGACCAATGACGGCGCCGCCTTCTCCTCCTCCTCCTCCTCTTCCTCCTCCTCTTCAGGGCATCTTTCTTCCCGCACTTGTAACAAACGAGTAGGCAGAGAAAGGCTGCTCTCCTCTAGTCCCGGCTTTCTGCCCCCTCATTTCAGAAACCACCTCCAAGAAAGAGCCCGTGTAGGTATTCAACCTGTCACTAAGAGGATGGAGAGGATCCAGGTGTTTCCCTACCTGATCAGCTCCAGGTGGGAGGGGGATGATAAGTCCTCCTTATTTGAATAAATCGCAGGGTAAAGCACCCCACCCAAGATGGCAGTTGAGGCATGGACAGGGTTTGCAGTCTACTGAGTCCTAATATGATTGGTTTGGGCTTGGTGGGTTGTATGAACTCAGCTATTGGGATTTTTTTTCCCACAAGCCACAGTTTAACAAACTATATGGTGATGAATGCCAGGGATGTATCCTGTCCTGGGTTATATAAGAAAGGAAACAAGTGGAAAAAAAGGGAATTCCATGCTGGAGATTCTCAGGAAAGGCCATGAAAATTAAAATGCCAACCTTGCAATACCCTTACAATGGGGAGACCATCCACATCTGGAATACTTGATGGCCACATTTTTTTAAAAAAAGTGAAGTGGGGGAAAGAGGGCTACCAAAATTATCAGCCAGCTTGGAATACTTTCCTTAGGAGAAAATATTAGGATGGTAGGGATTTTCTAGCTTAATAATAAGATAGTTGAAGGGAGACATGATTGAAACATTAAAAAAAATTATACATGGCAAAGGGGAAATGGCCATGAAGGTTTTTTTTCTCTGTCAAAATCTTAAACCTGTCTGGGGGGGACATTTAAAAGAAATAAAGCATTTTTTTCACACAGTGCAAAATTAATCTCTGGAATTCATTACCACAAGGGAAGGTTCTGGACAGTAAACTTGGATGCTTGTCAAATGCACTTGGATAAAGACTTGAACCGTCCAAGAAGTGCTACTGGTCTTAAAGACTCAATGTATCCTCTGGGTTGGAAGCAAAGATGCCTCCGAATTCCAGGTGCAGGAAAACAACAAGAGGGAAAGGATGCATCAAGACCTCTTGCTTACAAGCACCATGAGATAGCTTTGACCCCAGGGGTGGGATTCAAAATTTTTAACAACCGGTTCTGTGGGCATGGCTTAGTTGGTGGTGTGACTTGGTGGTCATGTGACTGGCTGGGTGTGGCCAACTCAACATCACTCACATCGAGGCACGCATCTCCTCGCCTGGCCTCTCGTGACTGTGGGGATGCTGCAACAGTCGTAAGTGTGAACAAGGGTCATAAGTCACTTTTTTCAGTGCCATTGTAACTTTGAATGGTCACTCCACACAAGCAAAGTACCAGCTGAGGAGGGGGAAAAAAACTCCAGAGAGGTTCCTGAGACAGGAAGTCTAGTCCTGCCAAGAATGTAATAAGGGTTAACAGAGAGGCGGTTTCTGTAAGCAACACCAGAATGTTTTCTTCCTGCCTTCCTTACAGGATTAGGCCAGTAATCTCTTCTAACAACCAGTTCTCTGAACTGCTTAGAATGTTAACAACCGGTTCTAGCGAATAAGTGTGAACTGATAGAATCCCACCCCTGTTTGGCCTCTATGAGAAGGAGATGCTGTACTAGTAAGAAGAGTTTCAACCTGATCCATCATGGGGGTTCTTATGTTCTATGCCAGAAGTCTCCAACTTTGGCAACTTTAAGCCTGGCAGACTTCAATTCCCAGAATTCCCCAGCCAGCTTCTGGGAGTTGAAGTCCACCAGGCTTAAAGTTGCCAAGGTTGGAGACCCCTGTTCTATGCAATTATAAGTAACATGGCATATTGTTTAGACCTACTTAATCTGACCAACTTCAAACCAGTGTTCTATTTTTTTCCCTACTTCTGCAAAATCGGTAATGCCAAACATGATGTTATTTCTAATGGAAATATTAAAAGGACAGTAGAAAATAGAAAACAGAGTGGCTATCGGTATTTATGCCATCATAAAACGTGATATTTTGCTTTGAGGAGATTTGTTTCCTGGCGCCATATCAGTTCCTTCATAAGATGCCTTCTCTTTTAGCCACATGACTTCTCTTTCACTCCCAAAGGTGTTTCCTGTTACATCACAGGAATATTCCCAATGCTGAATGACACACTCAGATAACCTTCATTATTTTTGAGCCTAGTAATCCCAAAGGTTTGTTTATTTCTGTGCTTATTACAATGCCATTACAATGGACAACTCAACAAATCAACTGCTTCCCCACAAATGAATAAACAATCCTGGATAGTCAAGCCAACATCTCATGGTCAAAGAGCTCCCTTACTAAAAGCCCAACAACTGGTTCTCATTCTGCATCCCTTTTAATTTATCAGTACTTTATGAGTATCAGATAGCAATGGCACGTAGATTTATATACAGCTTCATACTGCTTTACAGAAGTCTCTAAGCCAACATATTGGCCCCAACAATTTGGATCCTCATTTTACCAATCTTGGAAGGCTGAGTCAACCTTGAGCTGGTCAGGATTGAACTCCTGGCAGAGAATCCGCCTGCATTCATTCCTGATTTGGAGCATCAGTTCAGGATTCCTCTCTGCTAAACACTTCAGTAAAGCATTGGATCAGTGGTCTCCAAACTTGGTAACTTTAAGACTTGTTGATTTCAACTCCCAGAATTCTCCAGCCAGCTGGCTGGAGAATTCTGGGAATTGAAGTCCACAAGTCTTAAAGTTGCCAAGTTTGGGGACCCCTGCATTGGATGACCAGGTTTGGTAAGTTTTAAATGGGTTGCTAAGATCCATGATTCTGTAATGCTATGTTTTAATTTCCTCTGGTCTGTCAAGATATAGGATACCAGATGCAGGAAGCAGGAGATGGCTAGACAAGATTTTACATTACAACAGTGTTGAATAACCTCTCAGTGTCACCCTACCCTACAAAGCCTTGTTGCCTTTTCTTGTTATTCAAGCAATTTAACCACATCCTTGGAATTGGGTTTTCCTACTGGTGCTTCCTTCAGGTAGGCTTTTTCTGCTCCAGATTGATCCACATATACCTTCTTATCTCAAAAACACTTTGCACAAATTATGCAACCTTCCTTCCTTTTAGACAACATCGTTCACGTAATCTTAATGAAGGTCCTTAGATGCAAAGGGAAGAAGTCTCCAGCTTCTTCCAGCTTTATCACAACCCCTCAAGATAGTCCATCTTATGATATTGCCCCTGGTGGCTTCTTTGTAGCTGTTTACAATCTTGAGCCACTTGTCTAAGTTACCAGATATACTTTGTTTGACCATATATCATGCCCCCCTTGCTTTCTCCTCATGGAAGTAAAACAAATATGTTAGCTAATTCAGGGGTCTCCAACCTTAGCAACTTTAAGACTTTGCTGGCTGAGGAACTCTGGGAGTTGAAGTCCACAAGTCTTAAAGTTGCCAAGGTTGGACACCCCTGAGCTAGTTGACAAAATATCATCATCATTCTTTAATATAATGCATCACAGAGAAATACAGTATAGAGTAGATCATGCAAAATACCATATTAAAAAACATCAAAATAAAGAGAGTTTCTGTCATGCCCCTGGTGGAGACTGACTCTAAGGGAGAGGAGGAACAGGGAGTAGAAGTTTGGCTCCAGAGGTTGTGGAGGAGGCTGGGGAAGGGCAGAGGCCGGCTGGGCACTCAGAGAAGGACACAGGCCAATCCCTTCTCCATCCTAGGGCACACAGGGAGGAGAAGATAAGGGAGAGATGTGGTCTACTAGGGAGGAGAGGGCTTTGATCCTCTTCATGGGCTGCAGCTGTTACAACTGTATAAGAGGACAGACATGCGTAAGGGCGAGTGCTGGAAACAAAGTATGGAAATATTTCTAGTTTATTATTCCTTTCTGAGTTTCCCAGTGAGTGTTCTGATATCTGTGGACATCTTCAAGCCCTTGTCTTGCCTGGTTTGTGTTGTTTTTTACTCTTTCAAATTTAAACGGCATTTCCTCCTTCTTGTAACTGCTCGTGTGGGAGTTTTTTTTAATCTCCTGTCAAGGATATTTGGAGCTTGGAAGCAAAGTG